AAAATTCAATTGATTTTTTTTTTGCAATTCCAAACAAATGAAGCAAACAACTAACTCGAGTGAAATTACAACAAACTAAAACAACAAATTTCAACAACTAGGTGCTGAAATTCTAATACAATTACAAACTCAAGTAAACCAAAATAAAAATAACACTTAGCTCTTCAACTTTCCCAGCAAACAAACATCTCAAACACAATAACGAGAAACTACAATAAACAAATTATAACTACCCTTAAAAACAAACTCAAATACAGGTAAACCAAAACAAAAATTACATTTATCTCTTCAACTTTTCCAGCAAACAAAATCTCAAACACAAAAACGACAAACTACAACAAACAAATTACGACTATCCTTACAAACTGATAAGGAAAAAGAGTAAACTCCAAGTATCTGCCCAAAAACAAGTATGTCGGTTCTAACATTTGCATGAGTTGAAATAACCATAAATTGAAAAAGTTTAGCATTATTTCTTTGTGTACATTAACATGACAATGCTTGAGGCTGTTTTCAATATTGTGCAGAGAACAACAAAATTGTTCTCTTTATGTGTCTGTTTTTCTTGATTTTGTCGCTTTTTTTTCTAATTTAAATTTTTTATATCCGTTGTTCTATGCCAAGTTGTGCATATGTTACATTTAACTGCTATTGGTTCTCTTCTGATTTGAATTAGAACGTAAAAGAGTCTTGACCGTATATAAATTGATATGCTCACTTTTGTTTATTTGTTGTAGATTTCAAACGTAAAAAATAAGGTAAATAAACACGTATTCAATATAATCTTTTGTCTTTAACTAGTTAAAATTTTCTTTCTTTGTTATTATGAAGATCTTTAGACAAAAAGTTAAAGAGAGTCCAATTATATATGATCTATGTTTTTGTTCTCTTTTGTGAGTAACACTGCTGGAGAAATGTTGGGTTATGAGATAGTCGCGGAACAAAAGGTTTGTTTTCGTTTGCTTGTGACATATATTTTATTTTCTATTATATTTATATTTTTTTCTATTTAGGATTATTTACTTAGCAATATTTTTCGATTTACTTTAATATAGGACTACCGAAGGTTATTATCAATCCTGGGGAGCACTTTTAAGGTAAATACAGATGTGTTTTTATCTTTTTAGGTAGCTAAAATTTTTTACATTTTGTTAGCGTGTAACTCTTTAGGCAAAAAGTTTAAGATGGTCCAGGCGTGTCACTTGTGTTTTTTTTTTCTTTTTGATACCATTGTTTTAAATGCGGATTATGAGGTATTTGATGAATAAGAGGTTTCTCTTCCTTTTTTATCATATTTTTCTTTTTTATATTGTTTTTTTATTAGCTTAATTATTTTAAATTTTTTTTGATGGAGTTGGAGAGAGTTACAACGCTAACTATTTCTACATCATCTATCACATTAAATTTTAAAAAAAAATTCAGACGAAGCTCAACTCCATCTACTGCATGGTCATTTTAGTGGAAAAGAAGGTATGTGGTTCGATTTGATAGCAAATACTGGTGATGGTGGGAACTCGTCTTCATCGGTTGCAGTGGCATTTGGTCAGCAGTCTCTTTTGATTCTTCAGTGTTTCTAATGAGGTTGCATTTACTGAAATGGTACTCAGGACATTGGAGCTGGTCGATACAGTGGTTAGGTACTAAGAGCTACTGTGTTTTGTGAGGTATCTCTTTCTTCTTGTCTTTCACATTATATTTATTGAGTTTTGGTATACTTGACTTGTTTCTCGCGTCGCTGGCAAGAGGACGGAGGTCCTGACCATTCTTCAAAATTGTGCTGTAAGTGATAAAAATTCAAATTTTATTTTAATGATTTTGCATATTTACTGGTTGTAGCAAATCTGCGAATACCTGCTCTCTCGCTTATGCTAGCAGGTACTCTGTACAGCTTGTTGCGTGTTTTACGGTCTGTGAGCGACAAAAAGAGGGAGAGTTAGGTACGAAGAAGAGAACCAGAGTGGTAGAGGAAGAGAGTGCGTATGAAATTTTACCTCATTATTTATTATTTGATTCGTCAACTATTTTTATTGTTTTACTAACTAATCAAACAATAATTTTTAATTTATACTACCATGACTTAGTTGAATGATAGATTTGAAACTTAAAAACCTACGTCACGCTAGATCAATATGAACAAAGTAAAGAAAACAAATTATGATTAGAAACTGAAATTTGAATAAAAATGCAAACAAACTCAATACAATTACAAATCCAAGTATACTAAAAAAAAAAATTCAAAATTCCAAACAAATGAAGCAAACAACTAACTCGAGTAAAATTACAACAAACTAAAACAACAAATTTCAACAACTAGGTGCTGAAATTCTAATACAATTACAAACTCAAGTAAACCAAAATAAAAATAACACTTAGCTCTTCAACTTTCCCAGCAAACAAACATCTCAAACACAATAACGAGAAACTACGACAAACAAATTATAACTACCCTTAAAAACAAACTCAAATACAAGTAAACCAAAACAAAAATTACATTTACCTCTTCAACTTTTCCAGCAAACAAACATCTCAAACACAAAAACGACAAACTACAACAAACAAATTACGACTATCCTTACAAACTGATAAGGAAAAAGAGTAAACTCCAAGTATCTGCCCATAAACAAGTATGTCGGTTCTAACATTTGCATGAGTTGAAATGACCATAAATTGAAAAAGTTTAGCATTATTTCTTTGTGTACATTAACATGGCAATGCTTGAGGCTGTTTTCAATATTGTGCAGAGAACAACAAAATTGTTCTCTTTATGTGTCTGTTTTTCTTGATTTTGTCGCTTTTTTTTCTAATTTAAATTTTTTATATCCGTTGTTCTATGCCAAGTTGTGCATATGTTACATTTAACTGCTATTGGTTCTCTTCTGATTTGAATTAGAACGTAAAAGAGTCTTGACCGTATATAAATTGATATGCTCACTTTTGTTTATTTGTTGTAGATTTCAAACGTAAAAAATATGGTAAATAAACACGTATTCAATATTATCTTTTGTTTTTAATTAGTTAAAATTTTCTTTCTTTGTTATTATGAAGATCTTTAGGCAAAAAGTTAAAGAGAGTCCAATTATATATGATTTCCGTTTTGTTCTCTTTTGTGGGTAACACTTCTGGAGAAATGTTGTGTTCAGAGATAGTCGCGGAACAAAAGGTTTATTTTCGTTTGCTTTTGTGACATATGTTTTATTTTCTATTATATTTATATTTTTTTCTATCTAGCATTATTTACTTAGTAATATTCTTTTTCTTTACTTTAATATAGGACTACAGAAGGTTATTACCAATCTTGGGGAGCACTTTTAAGGTAAATAAGTATGTGTTTTTTATCTTTTTAGGTAGCTAAATTTTTTACATTTTGTTAGCGTATAACTCTTTAGGAAAAAAGTTTAAGATGGTCCAGGCGTGTCATTTGTGTTTTGTTTTCTCTTTTTTATACCACTTTTTTAAACGTGGATTATGAGGTATCTGAGAAATAAAAGGTTTGTCTTCCTTCTTTTATCATATTTTTCTGTTTTATTTTATTTTTTTTGTTAGCTTAATTTTTTTAAAACTTTTTTTGATGGAGTTGGAGAGAGTTACAACACTAACTGTTTGTGCATCATCTATCACATTAAATTTTAAAAAGTTTCCAGACGAAGCTTAACAAGGAGATCTACTGCATGGTCATTTTAGTGGAAAAGAAGGTCTGTGGTCGATTTGATAGCAAATATTGGTGATGGCGGGAACTCGTCTTCATCGGTTGCAGTAGCATTTGGTCAGCAGTCTCTTTTGATTCTTCAGTATTTCTAATGAGGTTGCATTTACTGAAATGGTACTCATGATATTGGAGCTGGTCTATACAGTGGTTAGGTACTAAGAGCTGCTGTGTTTTATGACGTATCTTTTTCTTCTTGTCTTTCACATTATATTTCTTGAGCTTTGGTATGCTTGTCTTGTTTCTCGCGTCGCTGGCAAGAGGACGGAGGTCTTGACCATTCTTCAAAATTGTGCTGTAAGTGATGAAAATTCAAATTTCATTTTAATGATTTTGCATGTTTACTGGTTGTAGCAAACCTGAGAATACTTGCTCTCTTGCTTACGCTGGCAGGTACTCTGTATAGCTTGTTGCGTGTTTTACGGTTTGTGAGCGACAAAAAGAGGGAGAGTATGCACGAAGAAGAGAACCAGAGCGGCAGAGGAAGAGAGTTCGTATGAAATTTTACCTCATTATTTATTATTTGATTCGTCAACTATTTCTTTTGTTTTACTAACTAATCAAGCAATAATTTTTAATTTATGCTACCATAACTTAGTCGAATGATAGATTTGAAACCTAAAAACCTACGTCACGCTAGACCGATATGAACAAAGTAAAGAAAACAAATTATGATTAGAAACTGAAATTCGAATAAAAATGCAAACAAACTCGAATACAATCACAAATTCAAGTATACTGAAAGAAAAATTCAATTATTTTTTTTTTTAGCAATTTCAAACAAACGAAACAAACAACTAACCCGAGTGAAATAACAACAGACTAAAACAACAAATTTCAACAACAATTACGTGCTGAAATTCTAATACGATTACAAACTCAAGTAAACCAAAACAAAAATACTACTTAGCTCTTCAACTTTCTCAGCAAATAAACATCTCAAACACAATAACGAGAAATTACACAAACAAATTACAACTACCCTTAAAACAAACTCAAATATAAGTAAACCGAAACAAAAATTATATTTAGCTC